TGCTAGAATGTGTCTTCACTTTCACAGCACCGCTAAAAGAGCAGTGGTAAGAGCTCTATGCCTCTCGTGAAGGTGGTTTTCTTTTTGTGGTGAAACTTCTGAGTTTCACCACAAAAAGTCATTAACAAGTATAGATGCTCCTGCAGTTTTAGCACAAAAACGGGACTTTTTGCTCTTTAAATGGTAAGTGTAGACATACCTTGCTTATAAACTCTCATTACACAGAATAAGGGGATCGGTTTTACTTTAGATGTTGTCAGCAAGTCTCTGATCTGTGCTTTGGCTGCCTTTTAAAACTGGAGCCTTTAACAGCTCCAATCCTACAAGTTGGCTTTTGTTTTTGTTAACAGTGCTGTGATACATGTAAATTCAGCAGTAAGAGATACTCATTTACTGTGGACATGTGAACAGAGAGTAACATCCTTCAGTCTTTTCTGGGGCTAAATGCATGCTAATAAGTTTATAGGATAAACAGTGATGCTTCAGTTTAATGCTTGGCGGGGGGGGGGGAGGGGGTGGCAAGCTATGAAAATGGTGGGTCAACAACAATCCCATCCATGTGAGGCTCCAAGAGAATGAAGCTAACTTAATTAAACCTTTATTGACTGCCAATGGAATGCTAAACGCACTCTCATTCACACCACAGCACATGTAGTATTAAAACAATAGCAGACATGATCATGGCTAGACAAGTCAGTCAGTCATATAAAAGCCTATTTTTTCCAAGCACTCCTCTTCCATTACCTCCAAACTGCATATCAAAAAAGGGAATTAGACCTGACCCTTAGGGTATCTCTACAGTGCAAACCCCACCCAAACAAACCAAAACCCATGGCACCGAGTCTCAGAGCCTGAGCCTACAGACCTAAGCTCGTGGGGCTTGCACTACACTAAAAAGAGCAGTGTGGACATATCCACTTGGATAGATTCAAAGTGTCCTGGCCAGATGACATTCCATTTGTAATAATTGAAGAACCCTACAGAACAATATACCTACCCTCTTGTATTCAAAAGATCTTTGTATAAACTTGCTGCATTCATCCTAGTGGTGTCATGTAGAGACTAATTCTACTCCTAGAACCAGAGACACTAGCCAGCATTTCTTTGGTGCTCCCTGCTATTTGAGAACTGAGAGCCAACCTCAACTGCCCAGTGCCAGATAAGTATTTACAGCCATGAAAGCATAGATTTTAAAGAATATATTTCAGAGGAATCTGGCTGATTTGAGACAGAACAAGGGATGCGTTTGCCTGTGTTGAATCTCTAGTTTGAGATCCTTCTAAGTAGTCTAGATAACCACAAGGCCCACAGGAGAAAAGGAGAAGCAGTCATCTGATAGTATGATAAGAATTATGGGGAATTGGAGTATGTTTTTTCTTTTTGTTAACCCCCCCCCCCTTCTTCCCCTTCTGGATATGTTGAGGTCTTCCTTTGTGTCTTACCCTTAGTCAATTCCTACTTGAGTTATACAGGAGGCTTTCTTCCCCAAATGGTTTGTGTTGTGGTGGTGAATTCATGTCCGCCAATAGACAAGGTTATATATTGTGCTCTCAGCTAAGGCTGGATCACAGATCCTGCAACTCTAAAGGATAGGCCTCTAATACTTGATGGAGAACTGTAGCAGGAGGGCCAGCCACTAGAGGGCAATAGGCTCACAAGGGCACCATATTAGTGGTAGCAAATGGTCCCACAAAAGCCCTGTTTTTGAGGCAGGTATGAGTAGTTGGGGACAGGTGTGGTTAATTGAAAGGGAATCTCATATGGGGTAAATTCCTATTTATATTTCTTGTTTTTTATATGTACTAGGAGGCAATATTAGTTTATAAACCAGTCATGTCTGGAGCCCAGAACCAACAATAATCTTTTATCATAGGCTTTTAGTTGCCTCCTGCTGGTCCTCTAGAGACTGGTCCTCATCAAAGAGCTGTCAAGCTGTTCGTAAACATCTCTTGTTTTTCGTTAAATTGGAAAGATCCTGAAACTGAAAAAGTGAGACAACTCTTCTCTTCCTCCCTCCCCTCCCTTTTTAAAGTAAACTCCATGTAAACACCATTCTGAAACAGGGACCAGTCAGCTTTCAAGAGCCTGAAATAAAAGTGGAGGATAGATAAACAATTATCCAGCAGCCCTGCAAAGAGAGGCAGTCTGGGTGTGGAGCTGGTTTGAGAAGAAATTGACTGCTTGTCAGTTTCTGATAAAGGAAAATGCTGAAGTGGGGGGAGAGTCTTCCTATGTGTCAGAGCCCTCTGATGAAGACCGCTTACCCCCAGTCCCTCTGAAACAAACTATCAGCCTTATAAATATTTCTCATGTCTGTCTTTGAAATGGCATCCAACAGAGCATGATCTGACAATGTTGAACATTTCTACATAGTCACAGATTGCATTCAAAAGGTCAGTGGTGTTAATATGTAACTTGCTAAAAGTGAAGTTCTAATAATAAATGCTGGTTTACAGAGGTCTCAATCTAAGTACTTTTTTCCATAGTCGTATATTTTATTAATGTCATGAATAATTTTTTCCCTAAATTTCATACTTTTTTTAGAAGAACAAAACGTAGGATGCCTTTAGCTGCATAACATAGTTTTGATTCCAGTATTTAAAACTATTTAGCATCACTGCTGGAATAAATTTAATCTTTTTTTAAATATGCATTATGTCTGCTGAAATTTCAGGGCAAGACTGGGTCTAAGAGGAAGAAATGAAGCTGACTTGTGCCTGCTGCTTTCTAACTTTGTGTATGTTGCATTGTTGTTTTCTGTTCACAATTTTAAATCATGTACCATTCCCCCCTCGGCTGAATTTTTACTTGGAAAATGAATGAGAAGCTCAACTTCAGGTATGGGTGAAAAATCCTTTTGAGGACCATGGTTGTGCTGCTGCCAGCCAAAGGAAAGAATGAGATACGTTTAACAAAAGAAACAAAACCACTCATTCTTTATTAGTTGTACTTAGCATTTAGTTTTTACTTTACTGGATCTGTTGTAATAGCACACTGGAGCCTTTGTCGTGTTGTCATTAGCTCTAAGTGTAGCTAGTGCTATAGATATTTACTACCTTTAAAGTCCCTTCAGAAGCAAAAAATTGAGTTTGTTGCTGTTGTTAATAACTTTTGTTTTAATAGACACCAATTTTGAATTTACATCAATCCAAACAGTGATTCAGTATGAAAAGATCACTTACTCCTAGAGAAAGAGGAATCAGAGCTGGTCACTAGGATCTTTCTGACTGCTAGGTCTTTGGTCCAGAGAGGAAGGTGGGAATGTGACATTAGTAGCACTCACCCCACTGTCTTGCTGTCTGGAGGAGAACAAGGCACCACAATGTTGCTTTGGCGCATGTAGAGCAAAAAGACCTCAGTAGCACTGATTCATGAATATGGGGTGCGGGATATAAAGCCGCCTCTTTCAAAGATCTCTGTTCCACTCTTGCATGTTAGGCACAAAATGTAATAATATATCTGCATGATAGGAACCTACCTTCTTGGCGCCATTGCGGGAAGACTGTATCCCAGCTATATCATTAATTGTGCTGTCTCTTTTGTGCTAAAGTATTAAAGGTAGACTGCAGAGCAAAAATGATTGTCAAGTGAGAGTTGATCATATTTCTCTGTGAAGGGTAAAGTGTGACAGACGGACAAAGTTGGTATTTGATTATAGAAAACTTAGGCAATGATGGCTGTTTGTAGTTCTAATACCCCTGGAGGGCTTATGACTAAATGGAATATTAGATACTTGTATCACTGGAATTAGTGTCGAAAGGAAAATCTATTATTACAACTCCAAATACATGTGAGCTGAGACAGCACAAAGCATGGCTGATGGGTTTGTTTGTCGCTAGAGCTTTGTATTTAAATAGCTCTATCTTGGCTGACACAGAACACCCGCATCAGCTTGATCCATCAGAAATATAAATCATTACCTCCTCACAACACACACTTTACCACTTTTCAATTCCTCCACAGGGTGGGAAACAAAGCAGGGTGGGATTACCCTCATCATGTTCTAGAAATCCTTATTTTAAAATGGCAAATAAGTTACTTACCACTAGCTTGCCAGCAGCATTTAATAGCTTTTAGCTGTAGAAGCATTCAGCACCAAATGAGTCTTCCCACATAACTACATATCCCTTATTGCATAATGTGAGAGCCAAAATCTAAGAGTCAGTGAATGAATTGATTTAAAAATATAAAAATAAAGGGGATGGTTGAAAGCAGGAAATACTATCCAGGAAAACAACTTAATATTCAGATTCAAAATTCAGTGTGGTCATAATAGCATGTAGTGTTTTACATTTTATAAAGAGCCTTAGTCTCAATGCTACAATGAGAGAGTTTATATACTCCACTAAATTTACCTGTCAAGCTGAAAATTCAGCATTTCTAGAGTAAGGCTAATTGTTATGCAAGACATGTTCAGGCTTCCAAGGAAATGTCTAATGATCTACTAATTCATTATGTATGCAAAGTCCCCCTTACAAAATTAATTAATAGGGCCAAATTTAGCTCAGGGGTAAATAAAAAGTAACTCAACTCTTTAGTTACTCCAGTGTAACTTTAGTGCAGAATTTGGGGTTAATTTGCTCCTTCCAAATGAAAAGGAAATAACCCTGTAACTGAGTCTTTTTTTGGGAACTGCTTTATGAAATATTTTTGACTCGGAAGATTATTGCAATCTGAGAGACTTTTTCACACATTTTGCATTTTTCTTATTAGAAAAAAATGTTTTCTCTCAGGTTTTCACTACCAAACAAGAAATGGAAGAGAATGCTTTTTAATGGGTTTTTATGATAAATAGAATGCCCATTTGTAGAACTCACCTTAAAAACATTTTTAATAATCCAAGATTAGTATAAGATGCACTTCAAATAAAACTAAATGTAGCACAATTTCCTTCTTGTAATGCCATCTCCTTTGAGTCAGTAAAATAAAATATTCAGGACTGGTTCCTGTCCAGATACCCACAGAAATAATACTGTTAAAATAAAGAAAGCACTCTGAAATTTGTTTTTGCATTGTTAATTATCATAGTTTTAATATTTTTAAACAATAATAAAAAAGGAGGGCTTGCATCACTGACAAGGCAGGTATTAACATGAGTTTGTAGAATTCCATACAGTATCTGCTAATTAAACATGTTTGGCAGCTTAGCAAATATCATATGATTGCAGCATCCATGATTTGAATTAAAACAATGATTTCTTCGTCTGTAAAGAGTTTGTAAATTGGAATAGCACTGTACCAGGTTCTGGATGGAATCAGAGCCCATGGGTTTAAGAAAGTCTATTTAGTGCATGACTCCAGTGCAGAACTGCCAAAATCAAACGATTGTCTCCTTTGAGTTCCTTTTGACTGAATGAAGGCCCAGCAATGACTGCTGGTTAGAAGGAACGCTGACAGATTTTGGAATTAGGAGTATCACCCTCTGATTGGTCCGACGCCATTCATTGTATAATCTACAGTGGTACCTAAATGACACCTGGTGGAAGATCAGGAGAGAACAGATTATACATTTTAAAAATACTTGGTGTCCTAGAATGAAATAAACTAGAAACAAGAAATAAACACCCTCAGGGAAAATTAGAAGCCAGCTTGGGGGTCTGCAAAAAATTTTAAATCAAAGTGGGTGTTGCTAAAATTTGAGACCTGCTGTTCTATCTGTAATGAATTGTACTGAATGCTAGTATGTTTATTTTCAGCTCCCCTGTGCTACCCATCCCCATTCGCTGCTGTCTACTCATTCCCAACAAAGAACTCCCTGTTACTACTTTAATCCTCCCATGATACCCTACTATCCCTACCTATCCTTTCCTGACCTCTATGGTCATGTATTACCAGCCTAATGGTTGGATAAAAACAGTAGCGAGAAGAAAATCTGAAGCTAGAGACCGTGCTTGCACAGACTGCATCACAAGTTTTCAGCAGCAGGGAAGTGCAGTTGCTCGGGACAAAACCTGGGCCAGAGTCCATTCCTATCTCCCTGCAGCTGGAAGCACCCACAATCTTACAAACTAGTTAGCTCCCCTATCTGGGAAGAAGCCACTTCTGTAAGAGTTAAATTATTGGCAGCAACTTGGAAACAAATGAATCTGATATACAGCTTAATGCTGACAGTTGAGACACTGATAGTAACTTCATTGTGAAGATCAGCAGGTAGCTCACAGGTAGGCACATACATAATGACTGAGGCTTATGCTCTTCTGCTTCTGTCCCCCCCACCCTTTTTTTCCCCCCAATTAATGTGTCAGACTCAAGACTCCACCGAAGATACAGTAGTTATGCGCCATGTTGCAGAACTGCCAGTTCTCACCATGGTAGCATGAGTATTTCATTTTAGGGAGCTGTTTGGGTTGTTTTTTTAAGTTGCTCAGGATCTCCAGAAAAGCTGGTGCTTGCTTATGACTTTTACCTGCATTAAAAAGGGCCACCTTTGTTTTCAGTGGAATTGAAACCAGACTGCTCTCAGGTGAGATGGCCAACGTTTCCCTTCATATTTTGCAAGAGGAAGTGGGGGTTGCAGTTGTAAAGATAGATACTAGTACTCCATATTTTGAATGAGTTTGAAGCCAGATTAATGTCGGTACAGATAACCACTCTTATTCACTAGGTGTGGCCTAGGTCTGAGACCGTGAGGGGGAACATGTTACAAAGAATGAGACTGTTGCGGAGGTGGCGGGGGAGAGGGGAACTTGAAGGAAGGCTATGGGGATGAGGAATATATGAGAGCAGACTGGGAGTAGCAGGAGACTAGAGAGGAAGGCACAGGCAGAGGATTGAGTGGCTGCCAGGAAAAGGAAGGGAGCAGGTGAGTGACAGCAAAAAAAAAATGGAGATAGAAAATGGCAGTAACTCACCCTAGGGATAAGGAGAGATAAGTGGAGGTCCCCTCTGAGAAGAGAAGGAAAGGCCCACATTTTTGTGTCTATCCATTTTCAGCCAGAAATTATCAACAAACTGGGTTCCAAACATTATCTAAAGACCCACTGCAGTTTCAACTGGATGCAGAACACTTCACTTCCTGCCTTTACATACATGTTTAGCAATAACATTGTGTTAAAAGCTATTGTGTTCCATCTCTCACACGGATGCACTAGCAGTAGTGAGAGAAGTGATTGTGGCGTAGATACTGACAGCTGTCAGCAGTTTTTGCACACACAATTACCTTATATGCATTTAGCACTGAAGGCAATGGTATCAGACACTTCATGAAGTGTATTGGTAATATATGACAATAATATAGTACTCTTGAGCCATGGGTGGGAACTGCCTGTGTACTGTTGACAGACACTTTATTTGTCATTGATTTTTATGCAACTGCGCCACTTCTGTAGGTCATTGCTATCCAAGAGATATGGAGTGAATTGAAGACACTATATCTGGAGGAGACACGCAGTCTGGGGGGAGGGAGGGACAGTAGGAAGGTACTGCTGTTTGTTTACACTGAGCTTGCAAAACATTCAGTCTATGGGCTCCGTAACTGTCAAAGGAAGCTACTCATGTCCTTACTCTAGGAGCTGCAAGTAAGCATCCAGGGCTGACTGCCAGGAGGATTTGGGGAATATAAATAACTCTTATTTTAAGTGATGCAAATGTCTCCTTCGAAGCTGTCTTGAGTTAGCTATCTCAATATAAAAATCCTAGTGGAGACAAGGCATACACAGTGTTTATCTCAGTATAGGTAATCAAGGTCAACCTTATATTCCCCCACCTGTGGTTTACCTCAACTAGCTACTATGTCTGCCTTCTCTTCACTAGGATTTTACACTGACTTAGTTATCTAGTGTAAAAACACAGCTTTTTGCAGTGGAGACATAGCCTATATCTCCATTTTCACTGAACACTTCAACGTGGAACTCCTGAGGTGCTACATAAAACGTATGATTTTACATCAATCGCTGGCATAGTAAGCATCTGTTTGTCTTTGGACTTGGATAGCAAGGGTTGGGGGGAATCCAGCTTCAAAGCTCACTTAAGTGCCTTGTGAACTCATTCAGATAGGCATTTACTTTTAATATTTTTAAACAGCAATTACATTGTTTTGCAAACTAGAGGATTAAAATAATGCTCTGATATACTCCCTATCCAATCCCACAGAAGTCAGGCACCACTCAGGATGTAAATCAAAGCAGAATTTGGCCCTAAATTCTTGGCTTAAATAGAAGGCTTCCAGACCCAAGATGCAGATCTTCCTACTCGAGAACACAAGTATTTTTTGTGTATAGGTCACAGAGATATTGACTAAATTCAGAAGAAAAGCAATAGTCTTTCTGGGACACTTTGGCTGTTAAATTTGCAAGGAAGCAATTTTACCCTATTCCTAAGTACCTCTCTACCAAAAAAGTATCTCCTGTTGTCAGTTCATTAAGCTCTTCGTTCACTGAGGTGTAGTGGTGTAAATAACCCATATGCCAGTTTTGGATTATAGAGAAAATTAAACTGATTTGTTGGAAGTAAACTGAAATTTTATTTTTTTTCCCCCAGAATCCCAAGGAGCATCACTGTGCTGCACATATACTTTATCCTGCACTGATAAGAATATTCCCTCCATGGCTCTCTAACAGAGCAGTGCAGATTCTCCTATGTTCCTGTCTTTCAGATTAGAATGGATCTGCTGATGGTGCTTTTTATTCTGTTAACACGAAGATTTGCATTATAGTGCTCTACAGAGGTGCATGGTACTCTGTAGCGAGAGTAAAGATAATAGGGCCAAGATTTTTCAAAAGTGATGTGATTTTTGTGTTGTGTTTTCAGCTTCACACACTTGGGATGGGCTTGATTTTCAGAAGCTGAGTGGCCAATACCATCTGAAAGTCAAGCCCTTTTTAAGGTGCTTTAGTTAGGCAGCCAAAATCATAGTTGCTTTTAAAATCTTGGCCTTTCCAGAGGAACTTGCTGTCTTGCAAATAAAAGTATTCTAAAATGCTTTGCAGATAGACAGTGCCTTTCAGCTAAGCATGTCAAGCCACTTTACAAAACTATTTGTCTTACACCCTGTAATGGTGTAATGGTACAGAAACATTACAGCCATAGTCTAGATGGGGAAAACTGAGGCACACAGCACTTAAGTGATGTGCTCAAACTCTTCTGTGTAGCAGTGCTGCAATAAGATCCCAGTCCTGGCTACTTGGCTTCCTTCTTCTAACCACTTAATTTACTTCCTCCTAAATGGGAGTGGTTGCTGTTCTGTAAGCTGAAATACTTTGCCTCCCTCACACATCTGCCTCCTGCTGCCCTGAGTAATATAGTAGAAATGGATGTAGATTTTTCCCCCCTTCCTTCTCTTCCCCCCCCCCCCAGTAGAAAAACTACAACTAGGGGGCCATGGTGCAATGAAGGTGGTATATTTTAGTTAAACTGATTGAGCTAGGTATTGATATCAGGCTCATCACCACACTATCTAAGCACCTACCCAAACTTTGAAAGAGAGACACACACGCTTCTTTCCATACCCCTAAAGGAGAAACCCTTTTTTAAAACAAACAAGTGATTTTTAAATGTTGTTGGTAAGAATAGCCCTACCCAAGTCGTTTTTAGTAGCTGCAGTTAATTGTTGCAGTAGTTATTTAATGGGCATCCCTAAGAGTCCATGCACCAAGAATAATGAAATCTAATTCTTCAGCCAAACTATTTTGTAGCCAACCCCTACTAATATTTCTGAAATTAAGAAACAAATCAGGCCCCAGTTGGGCTTTCAAGGTGACTTGGATGTATAGTACAGAAGTATCTTAGTGATCATTTGAAATCTACGAGCTCTGTAAGGTGGCCTGAGAAGTAGCATCAAATACCAAAAACACTTTGCTGCCTAATTTCGAGTGTGCTTCCAGCCTAGTGTGTTTACACACTGAAGAATTAAGCCACACTTACCAGAGGGAAATGTTACCTGTTTCCTTTGGTGAGTTGCTGCAAAGAACAGCACTGAGGGAGAAGGGAGAAACTGCAGACATTTTGGGCAACATTTCTGAGCTGCCTGTGTTTTCTTGGGAGAGCTCCCACATTGGCCCGCAATCTTGAGTATCGGTAACACGGCTGCCAATACCACAAATGGAATGAATGTTGCCCAGAGCTATTGCTTGCTTCAGGTTGCCTGCAGCCTCAGTGATGCAACATGGTGTTGTCTTAGGGCTTGTTGGCTGCACTGGAGTTTTTTAGCACGAGTGTGGATGCACTGCACTGGGGTGGTTCAGCCACCTTCTAGCACAGCCAAACTCATGCATTCTGTTCCCATTTGGAGGGATATCACAAGAGCTCAAAATGGGGCTATTTTTTATATAAATGAATGCTTAGATTCTGGAGCACCATCCTGCAGCAAGGTGTGGATTCCGTGGCGGATTCCGTGGCAAATTCCATGGCAGAATACATGGGGCCTAGAGAAGCAGGGATCTGAAAAATATTCTACTAAGATTAAATTTTTACACAAACTCAGCACTTTGAAAAGTATGTGCATGCATAATAGCAGTCAGAAGTCAAATTAGAAGACCATGCTTGTGCCACTGCCAAGTGGCCGCCATTTTTAGGATACAAGGATCCCTCTTAAATCTCCCTCTTCTCTTCCCCATGCAGTCAATAGTCGTTCACACCTGCAACATCTGTCTTGAACTCTTCTCCCCTCAGGCTTGCTTGTTCCCTCCTGCCATCTCCTGTGGTGCACTGAGTCAGTTATTACCAAATACCAAAGGTAAAGTACCTTTAAGGAAGAGTTCTGTACAGTTTAATTGGGATGAAACCTATAGGGTCCCCTTCAGCCATTACTCTAAAAAATCCTATAAAAGATAATAGAATATGACACACCCTACCACATGATAGTTAAATTAACAGTACTTACTAGTGTCCAAAAGAGGTAAATAGTGAAGAGTGCGACAGTGAGTGCAATGAGGCCAACAGCTTCTAGCCTACTACTAAAGTGCAGATGGTCCACCGCTCCCCGCAGACACAACCAGCCAGAGATGGTCGCCAGTGGAGTTATAAACAAGAAGCACACCATGTCTCCAAACAGAGTCCGTTTCTCATGTTGTGGGCCTGGGTTTCTTAGCCACTGCAAAAGGGAATTGAAACAAAAGAAGTGTCAGTAAAATCTTGTTAGAATGGCATAGAAATAAGGCTGTGGTGGCAACAGTTTTTATGGCATCTAGCTACCACATCTTGGAGAGGCAGATTTACTACAGCGACAGAAGAACCCCTTCCATCACTGTAATGTCTACACTACTACAGTGCTAGACCAGTGCAGTATTTCTAATGTAGATACACCCGTAATGTCCTAGGACTAGTCTATACTAGCAAATTAGATAGACCCAGCTATGTCGCTCTGGGGTGTGAAAAATCCACACCCCTGAGCTGCACAGTTAAGATGACCTAAATCCCCACGTAAATAGCACTAAATCAGCAGAAGAAGTCTAGCTACCACCACCTGGGACTGTGGATTATCTACACCGATGAGAGAACCTCTCCTATTGGTGTAGGTAGTGTCGACACGAAAGCACAACAGGTGTCCCGCTGCAGCATTTCAAATGTAGACAAGCTCCTAATCTCAAGGTCACTTAAGCATTAAAATGTTGAGATGTAGTTTGTATAAAAGATATTATAAAATAAGAGGCTATAACTTTACATTCAAACAGTTCCAGATTACGTTTTGGTTGCTTCTAGAAATGACTGATTATAACCTTCATCTTGTTCAATTTCCTGTAATCAGAAACCATAAGGATAATGCAGGAAACTGAAGGGAACAGGAGTGGGGGTTCTCCTTTTAAAGGTGCCTATTGAAAAATTTTTGCAAAAATTGTTTGTTTGAAAGGTGACCTACAATGAGAGTTGCTGAGCATCTGCAACTCCCATTGGTCTCAGTGGTACTGCAGATGTTCGCCACCTCTCCAAGTAAGGGCCTAAAATGGTAAATTCTTTTTATTTCAACCCTGTGGTCTAAAGGTATGTCTACGCTGCAGTTCTATACCTGTGGCTGGCCCATGCCAGCTGACTAAGGCTTGAGGGGCTGTTTAATTGCGATGCAGATGTTTGGGTTTGGGCTTCAACCTAAGCTTTGGGACCCTCCCACCTTGCAGGGTTCTACGGCCTGGGTTCCAGCCTGAATCTGTCTACACTGAATTTAAACAGCCCCTTAGCCCAAGCCCCACGAGCCTTAGGCCACTCATGGGTTTTTAACTGCAGTGTAGATATACCCCTACTGTCTGCAGTTAACCATGCTGTGAGGGGCATTCAGCACGTAATTTCAAACTCTGCTTCAGGTTAGGCCTTCCCCTCCCTAAGATGTGGTGATACTGGCATGCGCCATACTGGGACATTCCATCAAAGCAGGGTGTGGCTGGCTGTGGTGCTGGCATTTGGAGAGGAGGCCTATTCTGAAGAAGGATGGGGGCCGCAGGGGCACACGCACACACTTCACAGTGTTTGCTCTGTGCAGTGTAATTTTTGTAAGGTATAAAACGCCTACACTTGAATTAACAATTGTATTTTACGTTAAGTCAGTGAACATGACTGAGAATTCAAGCGAAGGCAAGCTCCATGGGGATGTTAGGAGGGTTAGTGAGGAAAAGATAGAGTAGGTTGTGCTTTGCATATAGGCTCACACACTTTACGGCCAGAAAGGTCACCTTGATCATCGAGTCAGACTTCCTGTACATTGCAGGACACAGAACCTCACCCACCCATTCCTGTAATAGACCCCTAGCCTCTGGCTGAGTTACTGAAGTCCTCGAATCATGGTTTAAATATTTCAAGTTACAGAGAATCCACCCTTTACACTAGTTTTAACCTGCAAGTGACCCGTGCCCCATGCTGCAGAGGAAGGCGAAGCCCCCCTTCCCCCCCAGGGTCTCAGCCAATCTGAGCTGGGGGAAAATTCCTTCATAACCCCAAATATGGTGACCAGTTAAACCCTAAGCATGTGGGCAAGACCCTCCAGCCAGACACCTGGGGAAGAATTATCTGTAATAACTCAGAGCCCTCCCCCTCTAGTGTCCCATCAGCAGCCATTAGGGATATTTGCTACTAGCAGTCGCAGATCAGCTACACACCATTGTAGGGAGTCTCACCATACCAACCGCTCCATAAACTTATCAAGCACAGTCTTGAAGTCACTTAGGGTTTTTGCCTCCATATGTTAATGCAGGAGTCGGCAAACCTTTAGAAGTGGTGTGCCGAGTCTTCATTTATTCCCTCTAATTTAAGGTTTCCTGTGCCAGTAATACATTTTAAAGTTTTTAGAAGGTCTCTTGCTATAACTCTATAATACTGTATATAACTAAACTATTGTTGTATGTAAAGTAAATAAGGTTTTTAAAACATTTAAGAAGCTTCATTTAAAATTAAATTAAAATGCAGGTGGCCAGGACCCGGGCAGTGTGAGTGCCCCTGAAAATCAGCTTGTGTGCCACCTTTGACACGCTTGCCATAGGTTGCCTACCCCTGTGTTAATGACACCCAGCTCTATGGCTCCATCTTATCTGACCCAGCTGGTCCAGTGGGACAAATAGCAAAGATTGACTCAAACTGGGTATTGGATGAAGAGAATATGGACAGGGCAATTATTAATTTAACAAGGACATTCCAGGGGTTAGGTTAGAAGCAGGTCTTATAGCGTAAATGCTTTATATTTCAGAAGCTGGTTCTGAACTATGAAGCCAAAACTGCAAATGTATAATCCACTGTAGTGGCTGCATGAATTCAGTCACTGCACTTTTCCTCCCAATGTAGCACCCCCTTGTTCCTAAATATGCTTCTGTTTCGAATCTAGTTTTCAGTCTTTTGTTTTGGAAACGTGCGCTGTCAACCTACTTTACAGCTAAAAAGTCGAGCCAGCAAATTCTTTCATGAAACTGAAACCTGCACAATGATGCCAGCAAAGTGCTGAGTGGACTATTTGACCCTGAGGTATAGAGGTGCTAGTGTGCTGTGAAAGACTGAGATGCAGGGCCAGATGGTACTGTCAGCTCTGCGCTGCAGCGCTTGATTTGTGCTTTTAAAAAATAAGATTCAATAAGTCTCAATGGTTTCTACAGTAAATTAAGGATGGTAGATATTCCCACCCTTGAAAAGGGAGAGATTCCATGGAAATGGTCATGCTTGAACCGAAATATTTGTTTAGTTCAAAGAAATATTCACACTTTTATCTGTAGATCTCGAGTGGGCATGCATTACTAGCCCCAATTTACTAAGGGCTTGTCTCCACTGGCACTTTACAGCGCTGCAACTTTCTCGCTCAGGGGTGTGAAAAATCACCCCACTGAGCAAGCAAGTTTCAGCGCCCTAAAGCGCCAGTGGAGACAATGCACCAGTGCAGGGAGCCACGCCTCCCAGGAGATGTGTTTTTTAAGGGCGCTGGGAGAGCTCTCTCCCAGCGCTCTGCCGTGACTACAGCAGCACTGCCGTGGCAGCGATTTAACGGTGCCAGTGTAGGCTAGCCCTAAGTCACAGAGAGACTAAATGGCTTGCCTAATGAGTCCATGCAAACTCAGGAATAGAACACACAACCCCAACTCTGCCCGCTGTGCAATCCAACATTAGATCACAGCTGCCACAAGAAACTAAAGTCAATTTCCAGACACAATTGTTAAAAGATTTTTTTAGTGTGCTCTGGTCATAAGAAAAAAATTTTTTTTGCAGTGGCAATGTCACAAATTTAATCTAGGATAGCATTTCTCAAACTCGGGGTCCGCAAGGGTACTCTAGGAGGTCTGTTGGCCCAGCTGATCAACTGGTCCCCATCCCTCCCTCCCTGTGCCTCCTGCATGCTGGGGAATAGCTGTTCAGCGGCGTGAAGGAGGTGCTGGAGCAGGAACAGGGCACGCTCTGAGGGGACAGAAAGAGGAGGGGGCAGGGGTGGACTGGGAGCAGGAAGAGGTGGGGTGGTGATGGGGCCTTGGGCTGAGTGGAGGGGTTTGGGGTCTGCAACATTTTTTAAATCAAAATGGGGGTCCCTGGGTTGCTAAAGTTTGAGAACCACTGATCTAGGATATCATATACTGGTAACAAAAGTTCAGCAGGGCAAAGGACTGCCTGAATGATATGTAAACACAGAATTATAAAGCACTTAGATGGATATGATAGGACCAAACCGGGATGGCTTCCATAAAGGAAACACATGCACCTCTAATTCTAGTAGAATTCTTGGAGTTTGTCAGCAAAATATTAAAGAAGCAGCGGATATGATACCGACTTTCAAAAAGCCTTTGTCCAAGTCCTTCCCAGGAGATTATTAAGGAAACTAGGTTTCAGAGTAGCAGCCGTGTTAGTCTGTATTCGCAAAAGAAAAGGAGTACTTGTGGCACCTTTTGTTAGTCTCTAAGGTGCCACAAGTACTCCTTTTCTTTTAAGGAAACTAGGTAGTCATGGGGGGAGAGGTAAAGAACTTTCATAGAACCAGCCTAGAAACAAAACATAAATCAAGAATAAATGGTCAGTTTTTAGCCAGGCAAAAGATTAAGAGTAAGGTGCCCCAACTTCAGTACTAGGACGTGTGTTGTTTAATATAGTTATTAATTATCTGAAAACAGTGAAGTGGCAAAATCTGCAAATGACGCAAAATAATGTAGGTTTGTAAAGACTAGAAGAGATTATGTGGAGCTTTAGAAGATCCTAAGGAGGCCAGGTGAATGAGTAGCATGATAGCACATGCAAATGCAATGTTGACAGATGCATAGCAGTGCAGACTGGAAGAAATCAGTTGAAATATTTGTACACATTACTGAGTTCCAAAGTAACTGAAACCACTCAAGAAAAAAAGACCAGGAGTCCATGTGGACAATTCGATGAAAACTTCTGCTCAATGTGCAATGACAAATTATAGAAGCAAACAAACAGGCTATATAAAGAATGGGTTAGAAAATAATACTGAAAATATCAGAGTGTAGTTTAATAAATCAAGTCTTCATTGGCATACTGTTCTCAATTCTGGTCACCCTATCTCAAAAAAGATATAGCTGAAATAGAAGAGGTCCAGAGACGTGCAACAAAAATGATCAGAAGCCTGGAGAGACGTCCAGATGAAAAGAGACTAGGAATGCTGGAATTGTGTAGAAAGGG